GAAGGAGAATTGACGCCTTTGAGCTGTGGTGCTGGAGAAGAGTATTGAATGTACCATGGACTGCCAAGAAAACAAACAGATTCATCCTGAAGAGGGTTAAACCAGGCTACTCCTTGGAAGCAAGGATTCTGGGGCTTCGTCTGACATACTTTGGACATGTTGTCAGGAGGGACAGGTCCTTGGAGAGGGACATCATGCTTGGGAGGGTGGAGGGACAGCGCAGGAGGGGAAGACCCTCTATGAGGTGGATTGATTCAGTGACTGGGGTAATCAGGATGGGTGTGTCAGAGGCAGTGTGATTGGTACAAGATAGGGTAGGGTTTAGGGCTGTTGTACATAAGGTCGCTATGAGTCGCAAGCGACTCGACGGCACATAACAGCAACAACAACAATCAACATTTGGGTTATTTCTAATTTTTAGTTATGAATAAAGTGGCTATGAACATTCAAGTACTAGTCTTTGTGTGGACATATATTTCCATTTCTCTTGGATGAAAGCCTAGCCGACGAATTACTAGATGATTTGGTAAGTGTATGTTTACATTTGTAGGAAATAACCAAGGTATTTCACAAAGTGGCTGCATCATTTGCATTCCTGTGAGAAATGGAGAAGGGTTCAGTTCCTCCATGTACACTTGGCTCAGTGTGACTTTTTAATTGTAGTAAGCAGTAAGCATCTCTTTGCAATTTTAATTTTCATTTTCCTATGACATTGAACGTTTTTTCATGTTCTTAATGGTTGTCCATGTATCTTCTATTGTGAGCAGAATTAAAGCATCTGTTCAAGTCATCTGTTCATTTTTAATTTGGTTTTCTGTTTTATAGAGGTTTTTGTTTTGTTTTTTTGTTGTTTGTGAAAAACAAAGGTAGACTTATTAGAAAAGGATGGAGTAGTTCCAAGTAGTGTCTATTTATTTATTAGAAAAGTACATCCCAAAAGGACAGGCCCTTTTCCCTGGAATAGAAGCAATGGAGGAGGCCTGTCTAACAGATTTTTTTTAAAAAAACACACCAAACTAGTTTATTTACAAAATTCAAATACATTGTTTTCCAGGCCAGGTTCTCCCAACTTTCCTCACCTTCCCACCATCTAACTGTACGATCCCACGATTAGTCTCCACTCTCCCACACGTCCTCACCCTTCTGCTTCTACCTCACCGCCCTTGGATCCTCATACTCATTCTACAGTAATGCTTTTACTGTCTTACAGAATCTTAAGAGTGCTTTATGTAATCTAGACAAAAATCTGTTTTTTAATATGTATCATTGATATGTCTCTCAGTTTGTGGTTTGTCTTTTTATTTTCTTAATGATAAATTATTTCAAAGAGAAAAATTTTAATTTTGAGGAAGTTAACTTTTTTCAATGGGTTGTACTTTTTGTATTTTGCAAAAGAAATCTTTGCCTACCCTATATAGGCTCAAAGATTCTTATCTTTTCTTCCTGGAACTTTACAAAGTTTAGGTGTGTGACCCATTCAATACAGTTTTTTAGTATGCTTAATAGCTTTTGTTTTGCATTTAGACTCTTCAGACATGGTTTGTGAAGAGATTATATTATTCAGTTCAGTGGGAGCTAAGCTAGCACCTTTCTTAAAAAAACATGATATTTACCTGACAGGGGAGATAAGATACCATGATCACGAAGGTGGTTTTCCCAGGGCAAGGCTTATCCATTGCTCTCTGGATGTGCTGACCCCTGCGGTTTCCCCAAAAGTAGGAAACTCGACAGCATAATTTGTGTTAGTGGGGGACTGCATTTGTGCTTTCCTCTAAATTAAAAAAGAGAGAGAGAGAAAAGAAAAAAAATTACTTGATTACACGTGGTGGATCTATTTCTGCAATAACTTGCTATGCAACAGAGAGCTTGATAATGACCAAGGATGACAGAAGAATTGGTGCCTTTGAGTTATAAGCTGGAGAAGAGTCTTGAACATACCACAGACCAAGAAAACAAATAGTTCTGTCTTCAAGAGGGTGAAACCAAGTTTCTCTTTGGAGGCGAGGATTTTGAAGCTCCATCTCACATACTTTGGGTATATGGCCAGCAGGGATTGAGCCTTGGAGAAGGACATCATGCTTGGAAGGTGGAAGGTCAGGGCAGGAGAGGAAGGTCCCAGATGAGATGGACTGATACAGTAACTGGGGCAATAGAGGTAGGTGTGTTGGAGTCAGTGAGACTGGCTCAGGACAGGGCAGGTTTCAGAGATGCTGTACATAGGGTTACTATGAGTAGCAAGCAACTTGACAGCACATAACAACAACAAAATTCCTATCTTAATTGTCTATATTTTTTTACGTCATTATTTCACTGTTTTTATTATTGCAGCTTTATAAAACATTTTAAGTCATGTGAGTCTATTTTGTTTCCCTCCAAAAAATTGTTTTTTTCTATATAAATTTAGATTCGGCTTATCAATTTCTACAACTCTGAGATTGTTTTGAAAGAATTGATACTTTGACAATATTAAGTCTTCTGATCCATATGCATGCTATTTCACTCTTCATTTATTTAGCTCTTCTTTGCCTATTCTCAGCAATGTTTTGTAATCTTTTAGTATACATATTATGCACATGTTTTGTTAAAATTTCCATAAGTATCTTATGGAAATCTTATGGAAATTTTCTCTTTTCATGCTATTGGAGGTGATATTGTTTTAAAATTCAGTTTCTCATAGATTGTTATAGAAATATAGAAGAACCCTTGTATGTTAGTTTTCTTTTATCCTACAACTTATTAACTGTAATTTTTTGGACAGATTTCTTACAGCGTTCTTCATAGACGATCATGCTACTGACAATGTTATTTCTTTCTTTCCAGCATGTAAAGTTTTGTTTCATCTTCCTTTCTTACTCTGTTGGACAGGGCTTCCTGTACAATGTGGAGCAAAAACAATGAGAGTGGACATCACAATGGCAGTTTTCAACATTTCTTTACCAAATAGAAGAAAGCACTGCCTGTAATAGAGGTATAATAAAAATGATGGGGTGAAGAGTATTTGTGGGAAGGACTGTCAGAGGATAGAGTAATTAAATCCTCTTCATTGGAGGAGGGGCATTTGGTGACCTAGCGGTCAAGAGTTATACTGCCAATCCAAAGACACAATGCAAAGGTTCAAATCCACCAGCTGCTGTACAGGAGAAAGCTGGGCAATCTCCTCCTGTGCAATCTTCTGCCTCTGAAGACCCACTTGAGGGTCAGCTCTGAGTGGATTCCAAGCTGACTGCATTGTGATACATTCACTGAAGGAAGCTTTGCAAGGAAGAGTGTTTCCCTCAGCTGACCCCGCAGTTGGGTTTCCATGCTTACTTTCACCCTGTCCCATCCCACTGCCATTCCTGTGCCCCAGGCTCCCAGCAGCAGCACTGACATGCCCCTCCTTCCATCCTTCCCAGAACCCTGACCTCTGCCTGGGATGGCGTGCTCACGGACCTGTTCTCGCATCCTGGGGCTTAGCCTTGGAACTACTGCCCTGCTTGCTGCCGGGACCAACATGGTGCTCCTGTTTCCTAACTGGGATTACACCTACCTGCTGAGGGGCCTCATTGGCAGGCACGCCCTGTTGGGCTCTGGGCTCTGGGGAGGGGGCTTCATGGTATGTATCTGGGGTTGTTGGGTGTGAACTCTCAAAGTGCCCTCAGGTGTGTAACAGGAAAGTGATGGGGCAGCAGTGTTTTGACTCCTTGTGATCTTATTCTAACAAGCTGCTCTTGGATCCATAAAAAAACCAGGGGCTAGGAAGGACACTGTTAAGTGTCAAGCATTGATGGATTTTATTTTAGAGACAAAGGAGGGTGGGTGTGAGCATTTCTAACCAACGTCAGATCAGATTGAAACGGTTGTCTTCAAGTTGATTCTGACTCTGAGCAACCTTACTGGGCGCGGTAGAACAGCCCTATAAGGTTTCCAAGGCTGTAATCTTTCTAGGAGCAGCCCACCACTGGCTCACCCTAAGGAGCGGCTGGTAGATTGGAACCATCATCAACGTTTTGGTTCACAGCAGAGTGCTTTAAACAAAGCGCCTCCAGGGTTCCTTTTCAGATCCAGCTAGTCTCCCAGAGTTGGGTCCTTATAATCAAAAGCCAAAACTCCTCTGGGAAATAAAGATGGACTGCGTCCACATGAGGTGTCTAACTACCCTATTTCAACACGTGGATAAACTCTGGACTGAAAACTGGAAACCTAAATCACCCAATCTCTTGTTAACACTCTTCTTTCTTTTCTCAGGTGCTCACTGCAGCTACCCTCATCTCTTCGCTGGGCTGGGGATGTGGCTGCTTCAGTAAGAGTGGGCCCTGCTGTAGTGTAAGCACCAGCTTTCACTATTCTAATACCTACAGTGTCTCTACATTTGGTTATTCTAGAGGCAGAGGGGTAAAGAATTTTAGTCTTGAACTTGAAAGCAGGCTTTTCCTGGGCCACTTAAGCTCTTGGGTAAGTTACTTAACTTTCTGAGCCTCAAGTCCTCATCCATGAGAGGAGAGTTAACAGAATCTATTCAAAGGAGAGTTAACAGAATCCATTCAAGGGAATATGTGCTACAGTGTCATGAGCTGCCTTCAGAAGGACTCTGACTCATTAGTAAAGCAAACACATATATCCAAATATAACTTCTGCACAAACATGAGGAACTGTTTTTATTAGTAGCAAAGTGAAAAAAAAATCAACCTGAAGTTAATGTACATTTCAATCATGTATTACTAGTGAGAAATTTCCCAATTTACTTGTCATTTTCTTAGAGTTGGGAGGTTCCCCAGAGATCATCCATCGACTAGATTTTAATTCAGCTCCTCTGTTTCACAGATAATGAAACTGAGGCCTAGAATAAATTTGTCCTTTATTATATAGCAGCATCTATAGCAATAGGGGGAAATCTAAGTACACATATGCATGAGATACACTGATTATTCAGTCTCAAACACATGAACACGTCGACTCATTACAATAACTCTTCAACCTCTTCTTCTGATATTTGCAGCCCACATATTGGAAACTCCACTGACTCAGAAGCATGTGTCCAGGAGTTAAATATGAATACCCACACATGTCACCCACTAGCAGTTCTCAATCCCCTCTGGTTTTTCCCTAGGCAAGTGATTCTTAGACTTTAGCGTGATGCATCAGAATCCCCTGGAGGGTTTGTGGAAACACAGATGGCTGGGGCTCACCCCTAGAGTTTCTGATTTAGTGGGTCTGGAACAGACTTCAAGAGTTTATCTCTTGACAAATTCCCAGGTAATTCCAGTGCTGCTGGCACAGGCTTAAATCAGAGAAACTCGTCCTGAATCTTTCAACTTAAATGCATCTTTCATTGGTCCTGCTTCAGCTTCAAATCAATATGGAGGAAAATTACTAAGATTCTGTATTTTTAAAACCCACCTATTTGTATGTTTGATGTACATTTTTAAAATATGTATTCTTTGGGAGGGAGTAGGGGGAAATCTAGTACACTGGGAAAGATGCCAATTTAGAATCAACGAGAATCTGGTCAAGGAAAGAAAACTATTACCTGTTAGGAGGGAAGTGAGTGGAGCACAAGCTGACGACTAAAGAACCTCTTGAAGTGAAAAGTACACTCACAGAACCGGGGGCTTGCAGGCTGCAATCTTTTCTTCCTTCAATCTACTCGCCTTCCTTTCCTTCAATAGTTAGCTCGCTTCCTCTTTCCCTCCTCTTCTCTCTATGCTTAAGATGAAGGGAGGAATAAAGGACGGGAGCTGGCAACTTTTGGAAATACAATTTTTGGAAAATATAGTTTCTATAGCAGAGTTAGAGGTGGACATGCAGTCACCAGCCTTATCCATTAGTTCAGAGCTTGCATGACTGCGGTCTGACTGTTAAGGAGGATTTCTCGTTGGCACGTCTCTCTCTCTCTTCCTCTCTTCTCTCTCTCCTTCTCCTTGTGAAAATATACAAATCAAAACACCCACCAACACAACTTTCATATTTACAAATCAATAGCATTGATATTGTCATGGTGTGCCACTTTGATCACTATTCTCTAAAACATTCCACCACTATTGACATAAACTCAACAACCCTCGCTTTTCCCTTCCCCCCTTAGTGTGTATATATTTGCTTCTTTTCTGTAAGTGAGCTCATACCCTGTTTGACTTTTGGGGGCTGACTTATTTCACTCAACATATTTTCAAGGCTCATTCATGTTTTGGACTTATTTCTCTTAAAGCTGCATAATAATTCGTTGTGTCTTTGACCATGTTTTATTTATCCACCCATCTTTTGATGGGTACTTTGATTGTTTTTACTTTTTGGCCATTGTGAAAAATGCTGTCGTGAACACTGGTGAGCAAGTTTCTCTTTGCCTACACTTTTTCCAGCCATAGACCTAGGATTAGCATTGCGGGGTCATATGTGATGTATGTTGAGGGTTTTACTGCCAGCCTGCTGAGAGGCTTCAAAGAGCCTGGCAAGTCAGGGAGAGCCAAGTCCAAGTGCTTGGATCTCTCCCTTCTCAGTCCTTCCTCGTTCACCTCTTCCTGGCTCCACCTTGCCTTGGTTATGCATTAAAGGAGACAGCACTGATAGGATTATCTCCATGTGACAGGATGAGAGCAAGTGCCAGCAGCAGAGAACTGAGCTTTGTCCAGACCATCCCCTAAGTCCCCCAGTCCTCATGCCATCTCAGGCCCCATTTCTCTTCTCCCCTGGCAGATGCTGGTTTCTCTGCTGTCAAGTGGCCTGGCTTGGCTTGGAGCCTTGCTGTGCTTTATCACTTCTGGAGTGGCCCTGAAAGATGGTCCTTTTTGTATGTTTGATATCTCGTCCTTAAACCAGACGCAAGCTTGGAAGTATGGTTACCCTTTCAAAGACCTGCAGAACAGGTAAACAGATAGAGGCCTGGGTTTGCAGCCGAGAGAGAGAGAGGGAGAGAGAGAGAGAGAGAGAGAGAGAGAGAGAGAGAGAGAGAGAGAGACCCATGAGTGGATTACAACCTTCTTTGATCACACACAGCAGCCTCTTGCTCCTCCAAGGCTCCGAACATTGCAAATTGTAAACTGATAAGGAAGAGTCTCCCTCAGGCGTCCAGTCCTGTGGCCTGAGCTGAGGGGGACTCCAGCTGTCTACTGAGTTTGCTTGTTTGGCTATTTTTCCTTGTTCTGCTACAGCATCTCACTCATCCTCCCCGTCTGATATCCTTATTGTTCTGACACAGGAATTATTTGCATGACCGTTCACTCTGGAATTCCGTCTGCCTGGAGCCCTCTAAAGCTGTCGTTTGGCACGTGTCCTTCTTCTCCGTCCTTCTCTGCATCAGCCTCCTGCAGATTCTCCTGGTGCTCATTCATTTTATCAATAGCTTTCTGGGCCTTTTTTGCAGCCTCTGTGAAGAGTGATGGGTAATTCCGGTTCATGTACAGATGTTTTAATTATAAGCTACTTAAAAGGTTTTCTGCAGATAATGGGTACAAACTTCTCTTTTAGGCACTGCTATAATAATAATAATCATTACAACTCCTTGGATGTTGTTGAAGGATATAATGCATGTTGTAAATTGCACGATGATATCATTAACTCATTATTATTGTGTAAAAACTTAAAGTCCCCACATTCCTCTCCAGCCGTCATCTCCTTGTAGCCTCACAACAAACTTATAAAACTGATCATATGTGATTGAGAACTTGAAATTCCTGGGGGATAATAAACTTCGTGTATCAAAGTACACAGCCGGGTCAAAGTAAAATCAGTACCCACATCTCTCTTCCGGATTCAGGCCCACCAATAAGACACAAGCTCACCATTATAAAACTGGTGGTGGTTGTTGTTGTTGTTATGTACTGCTGAGTCAGAACTGACCCACAGCTGATTCTCCAGGGGATTTTCAGAGGCAGTAAATCTCATGGGAGAAGATTTCCCATCTTTCTCTTGCAAACCAGTAGAGATTCATTGATGTTCTCTACAGTTCAAAAGAAAGGAATTCCCTCAATGTGATGGATTGACTCAGTGACTGGGGTAGTGCAGGTAGGTGTTTCCGAGATGATGAGGTTGGCACAGGATAGAGCAGGGTTCAGGGCTGTTGTACATAGAGTTGCAGGCATCTCAATGGTACATAACAACAACAACAACAGCTGTTGTTAAGTTTGGTCAAGAGGTGGTATAGGAAGGCAAGAAGAGTCAGATCAGGGTACAGGAGACACTGGTGGAGTAGTGTGAGGAGTAGGAAAAAGGATGAATCAGGCAAAAAGCAACGAAGACAGAAACAGGAAGAGGGGTAACAGCAAAAGGAAAACCAATGCGTGGGTCTAGGAAACATGATAGAAGAACCCAGGCTCTAGGGCCACAGAAAGGGGCCTAGGTACCTCTCCACTCCCCTCCCCAGCATTGTGGACCCCAGCACCGTCCCAGGTCAGTGAAGAGCTGCGGGGACACTGGAGGCCTCCAGGACACGGTGGCTCCTCTGTCCTCAGGGCTCAGAAGCAGGACTGAGAAACAAGATGTGGTCATTTGACGATTACGGTACTGAAGCTTGTAGGCATCAGATCTCTCCAAACACCCTTTCACTCTTCCTCCTAGGGGCTACTGGCCTCAGCCTATGGAGCAGGCTGAGAGCCCTGAACCTGGAGAGTTCCCTGTGTATGCACATATTGCATCCAAGAAGCATTGCCTGTATCTGTCCCATAGTTCCCTGTTGGTTAACTTAGATTCATGGTCCTGGTTAGAATGAGCCAGATCCACAGAAACCTCTTCTATAGAAGACGCACAGAGCAAGATCTAGAAGGATTCCACGATGATGCTCCTCCCAGGCCTAGATCCTTGAGCTGGGTCTCATTGTATGGACAGGATTCAATCAGTCAGCTAATATCAGTCCAAGATGGTGGCCATTATGACTACTTATCTCATTAACACAAACTCTCAAGTTTGGGAACCCTAGAGGGCAAAAGCACCTCAACTACTTAGAAGATTTCAGGGATTCAGGGTTATATCTCAGGAAACAAAGGCAAAGACTAAATGACATTGTGTGAAGATAAATTCTAACACCACAGGACAAGAGACAATGTTCCCAAGCTCTGCTTCAACTAGACCAGTTATCTTTTTCAGATTCTAAGCATTTTGGATGCATTCTCCTACAGATGTTTACAGATACTCTTAGATCTCAGAATGCAAGCCCAAGAGTCAAATTTTGGGGGTATAAAGAAGTTCATAAAGTCTTGACCAAAAGAAAACAACTGGATTAATTTCTTTATTGCTGAGTCCAAGCCAGTCTTTTTTACCAGCCTGCCTGCCGGGTCCTCACGTTGGCTTTGCCTCATTTTATTCAACAATGTCATCTTAGAGTTTTTCACCAGTTCCTTCCTGTCAGTTAGCCACGTTACTGCTAACACTATATATAGAGTTTTCCTTTGATGGTTAAGCCAGGATGTGAAGCAAATACGCCAAGGAAGGAAATACTGATGCAGCTGTCTTTTGTATACATACAGTCAACCCAAGAAACATTTCTTCATGACAAAATAAAGGGAATTATTTGAAAGGGTCTTGGAGCCAGCCTTATTTTTGTTTAATAAGTTGTTGCTAGGAAATGAGGTTCTAATGCCACAATTATTTTCAATAATTCCTGAGACATCTGGTTGAAGTAGCTTACGCATCAATCTGACGTAAAGGGAGTGTGTCTAGGTTGTGTCCAGTTGTTGTTAGCAGCTGCCAAGGAGCTGTTGTAAGGAGCCGAACGCTGCCATACCCTGTGCCACCCTCACCATCCCTGACACACTCCATCCCACTGTCACAGTCATGTTACAGTCACTGTGTCGATCTATCTTATTGAGGGTCTTCCTCTCTTTTGCTGACCTTCCACATTTCCAAGAATGATGTCTTTTTCCAAAAACTGGCCCCTCCTGATAATATATGACCAAATACATGAGAAGAAGTTTCACTTTCTTTACCTGTAGGGAGCACTCTGGTTGCACTTTCTCCAAGACAATTATTTATTCTTTTGGCAATCCATGGGATATATTTTTCTTCTGACCAATACCACAACTCAAAGGCATCACTTCTTCTGTCATCCTCAGTCACTGTACAACCTTCAGATGTATAGGAAATAATTGAAAAGATAATGGCTTGCGTTAATTAAGGTAATGATCTTGCATTACTAAGATATAAGATATACCTTAGTCTTCAAATTGACATTGTTGTACTTTAGCACTTTAGAGAGGTTTTCCCAACTCTGTGTCTTTTGATTTCTTGACTGCTGTTACTATTGGTATTATTGTGGATCCAGGTAAAATGAAACCCTTGATAAATTCAATCTTTTCTCCATCTGTTATGACATTGCCTATTGGTCCAGTGGTGAGAACCTCTGTTTTCTTTTTTCCCACTTCACATGGGTAGTGTGCCCACGCTGTAATAATGTTTAAGGGTGGCACATGTCACACAGAAGCATGAACAGCCAATCATCATGCTCATGAACTGGAAAAGGATTGACTTCTGTTTCCTTGATGTTGAAATACAATCCATATTGAAAGCTATATTTGATCTCCTGCAAGTGTTTGAAGTCCTCTTCACTTTCAGCAAGCAAGGTTGTGTCATCTGCATAAAAGGTGTTGATGTGTCTTCCTCCAATCCTGATGTAATCCAGTTATTCAAGAGAAGTTCCTAACCCATCCTATTTGTGACCTCAACCAAAGGTTAACCAGTCAAATGACTGTGTTTTAATTTCTTTGATCCCAGGGTTGCATATTTTTTTGGTTAGAAGTTCTTTCACTCACATACATGCGTTCCTGTTGAGCCAGAACTAATACATAGCTGACTCTCCAGCAGGTTTTTGGAAGCTGTAAATGGCTAGTTACAGAAGAGACTGTTCCTCTCTCTCTCTCCTGTCATGCTGGTGGAAGATTTGAACCACCAGAGAAACACTAGCTATTGGGACAATAGCACAATTTTCTATGCATAAGGCCATCAGGGCTTGCTAGATGTTTTTTTAGTAAGAATCAAGTTTCACTTACATGAATTGGTGTCTCTTCGGGCCTTTTGTTCATAGTGTTACTATAAGTCATGTTCAACTCCACGGCAATCAGCAACAACAACAACAACTACATTCTAGTGTACCCTTTTCCCTAAGTCCCCCCACCCCCGGACTAAATCTCCTAATTACATTAGGGAAATTTACTGTCAGGGACCTCTCCAAAGCGCCAAAGAGCAACAATGTCAGTCTAGAGAATAACATGAGCCCCATTCAGACCATGGTCTTTGCAATTACTTGCTATGAATTAGCTGTAAAAAGAGAGAGTTGATGCCTTTGACTTATGATGCTGGAGAAGAGTGTTGAACATACCATGGACTACAAAGAGAACAAACAGGTCTGTCCTGGAGAGGGTAAAACTGAGTTTCTCCTTGAAGGCAAGGATTTTGAAGCTCAGTCTCACATACTTTGGGCATATGGCCAGGAGGGACCAGTCCTTGGAGAAGGACATCAGGCTTGGATGGTGGAAGGACAGCACCTGAGAGGAAGAGTCCAGATATGATGGATTGACACAGTAACTGGGGTCATGGGGTTAGGTGTGTCCATGAAATTGAATCAGGAAAGGGCAGACTTCAGAGCTATTATGCATAGGGTTGCTATGAGTTTTAGGCAATTCAATGGCAGATAATAACAAATTCCCTTAGTCTCATTTTAAGGTTTGTTTGGTTTTCCCACCCACCCTCACCCTTGCTGCAATAGGAGTGAAGCTGACAGTCAATTCTGCAGCTCTGAAGTGCAATCCTTCTGTGGCAGGGGTGCAGTGCTCCTGGCTCTTAGAGCAGCTCTTATCTACTAAAGCAGTTCACTCACCATCTCTCTTCACAATTCGACTGAGAGCCGTGGCAGTGGTAGTGTGACCTTCGAGAGACAATGTTGAGGAGAGGAGGTTTACTGAATTCTACCACAAGGCCCTCTGGGTCTGGCTGCTGGAATTCCAGAAAGCATCCCATTTCTTCTATCTACACCCTAGACTCTCCTTACATTTGGAGTGGGCTTGGATATTTGTTTTCTCAAACAAAGCTACATCTGGCTCCTGATTTGACATCCACCCACGCTTTGGTATGGAGTCTAGAATATTCTTGCTGCAAGGAGGCCAAATTCAAATGATACACTCCACTCCTAGCTCTTCTTTCCAGGTGGTAGCGAGATCTCTCTATTCTGCCTCTGGGATGGCTCATTTTAACCTAGTGGGGTGGCAAGACTGACCAGTTCCCTCATCAGAGTTCCACATAACTTATTTGCACGGTCCCACCCTGAGAAGAGTGTTATGCACTTTAGTTGCAAAATTAGTAAGTCATTCATTTCCTCTGGTGGCCACCAGCACCTTATTTGCATAGCTCAATCTTTTGGTGGAAGTTATAACCCCATGGTTAGAAAGGCCAT